GCCATATCCCAACAGGCCGCTGTGCCCCTGGGAGTGGCATTGGTGAGTCAATAGGAGGCGCTGTCCCTGCTGAAGCAGTGCCCCAGGATGGCATTAGGTGGCACTTTTTTTCAGACAGTCCCTTGACATTTATTGTTGACATCTGGACATTTGTCCCAGGGTCCTGGCCCTCTTCCAGTTTGTGTAATTGCATTCTCCTGCCCTAAATTGTCCCTGCAATTTTTCCCCTTTGTGTCCTAAACTTTTGTGGACTGTCGTAGTGTGCTGTTGAATTGCTGCCGCACTCCGCCCCAGAAGTGGCTGCATTCCAATGCTGGGAGAAGCAATTCCTGTATATAATTTGTAGGGAGCCTTCAGGCTGACAGACAGCCTATAAACGTAAGATATTATTTTGCTGTGTATACATACCAATCGCCAGACACGTTCGGAAAACCGCAGGGAGCCAAGGTCACTATTTTTGTACGTTGTCTTTAATGCCAAATAAAAGTACGAGCTGACTTGAGCCCTGCGGTGGCATGAGTTGGACAGGCAGTTAATTGAGGACTAGAAACAGGACCGGCTACTCACCTGACATAAATCCAGTGTAGCTCCTTTTACCTCAATGGAGCTTTGCCGATTTCCACCATGCAAGGACCTAGCCCACTTTAATTAACTAGGTGTGACCCTATGGAGAGGACAGCACTGGCAGCTCAGCAAGCAGGGGGCAGGAGCAGGCCTGGCTAGTACTTGGATGGGAGCTCTCCAAGGAGAACCCAGATGCTGCAGTATATAGTGTTGATGGCTCACTGGCTGCCTGCCTTCCTCTGAGTCAGGGTTGAATTCATGCCCCAGCATGAGCTGTCGCCTTTCAGTCCAATGTCCCCAGCATTCCTGGTCTTTAAAGACCCCTTGGCTCTTGTCATCAGTCAGGTGACTAGCTGGTGCCATGGTCCTGGCTATCTGAGTAACTGCCTTGTGCCGAATTAAACACCCCTGCAGTGTAATGGGGAAGGCAGGCTTCACGTCAGAGAAACAGTGTCGTGTAGTGTGACGAGAGCAGAGGAGCTGCTGCATTTCCTCTCCAAGTGGTGGGATTCCGGCATATAGCGCCCCAAAGAGTTTTGGCATCCTTCAGCTAGAGCAGGGGTAGGCAACCTATGGCACGCGTGCCGAAGGCGGCACGCGAGCTGATTTTCAGTGGCACTCTCGCTGCCCGGGTCCTGGCCACCGGTCCGGGTGGCTCTGCATTTTAATTTAATTTTAAATGAAGCTTCTTAAACATTTTAAAAACCTTATTTACTTTACATACAACAATAGTTTAGTTGTATATTATAGACTTATAGAAAGAGACCTTCTAAAAACGTTAAAATGTATGACTGGCACGCGAAACCTTAAATCAGAGTGAATAACTGAAGACTCGGCACACCACTTCTGGAAGGTTGCCGACCCCTGAGCTAGAGAGTGCTTATAGGAACGACTGTCAATACACAGGGCCCTACCAAATTCACGGCCATAAAATATGCATCACAGACCATGAAATCTGGTCTCCCGCCGTGAAATCTGGTCTTTGGTGTGCTTTTACCCTATAACATAGAGTTTTCACAGCGGAGACCAGCATTCCTCAAATTGGGGGTCCTGACCCAAAAGGGAGTTGCAGGGGGATCACAAGGTTATTTTAGGGGGGTTGCAGTATTGCCACCCTTACTTCTGTGCTACTGTCTTCAGAGCTGGGTGGCCAGAGAACGGCAGCTGGTGACTGGGCACCCAGCTCTGAAGGCAGCGCCCCACCGGCAGCAGCGCAGAAGTAAGGGTGGCAATACCATACCATGTCAGCCTTACTTCCGCGCTGCTGCTGGCGGGGCGCAGCCTTCAGAGCTTGTCTCCCGGCCAGCAGCCGCCGTTCTGCCAGCTGCCCAGCCCTGAAGGCAGCACCGCCACCAGCAGCAGCACAGAAGCAAGGGTAGCAGTACCGCAACCCCCCTACAATAACCTTGCAACCCCCCCACAACGCCTTTTTGGGTCAGGACCCCTGCAAACACACCACTGTGAAATTTCAGATCTAAATAGCTGAAATCATGCAATTTATTATTTTAAAATCCAGTGACCGTGAAATTGACCAGAATGGACCATGAATTTGGTAGGGCCCCACTACTACTACTAATAAAAATGAATGCAAAGAACTTTGCAGTGTACGGGCTCAATCCTGCCATCGGACTTCTCGTGTACCCAAGATTATACACGTGTATGTGTCTGCAGGATTGGGCCTGATGGATATGGGAGTTGCTTCATGCAGCACTGGAATGCATCTGCCTCTGGGGTGGAGCAGCTTTTAACGGCATGCAGTTCCACTACATTAAAAAGAGTCATTTTCTAGCTTGCTAGGCCTTCCTGAATGGGTTTGTAATTTCAGTGTAAGAGAGTTAACAGCCTGAGTTAAAACCCGATAGTAGCTGGGACATGAATAAAACAGGATTATCAATGTTCTCAAAGACTAACCCTCCAGGTCTCGTTTGTTCCATATTCAGAGACGACCTACAATCCAGTTCGGATGTAATTAAAAATGGAGTCACTCTGGATTTACACCAGAGTAACTCAGAGCAGAATGTGGCCCTAATTCCTGAAACGCTAGTGGAGTTACTCTGGATCTACACCAGTTTTAGTGAGATCAGAATCTGGCCCTTGCAGCAGGGCTTTAAAATAAAACACAATTCTGTAAGATCTAATAATTTTCCAATCTGCTTTTTCCTGCTTCCCTAGAGCAGGGCTCCTGGGAGCAGACGGGTTGAAACCTTTGCAGGCTGGGGTGATGCAGGGCCTAATGGGCAGTCTTGCTGGGGGAGTGAGTGATGGAAGGAAATGATCCCCCTCCTTGAACTTGGCCAGATCTAGGCAGGTGGGTCTCAGGGCTGGCTCTGATCCTGCATGGATGAGTGCTGGGAATGAAGTGGCCATACTGATAAACCCAGGGCCAGTCCTAGCACATACCTGCTCAGCGGCCTCCAGCACCTGCTGGCTTGCATAGACTCTGCCCTGGCCATCTTAAACAATCACCTTAGGTACCAAACCCCATTGATTTATCTGGGTGATAAACACCCCCAAATTTCCCCAGCTCCCCTGTAGTGATAAGCTTCCCCGCCCCAAACTGCGCGACAGACTGATGGGCTCCTTGTCAGACGCGCTGAGCACCGTCAGCTCCCATTGGCTTCTGTGGGAGCTATAGGCACCTGCAGTCCTGGGTTATCTCTAGTACAGCTCTGTACCATGCTGATGGATCGAAAGCACACAGGAATCAATGGAAAGACTGACACTGACTTCACTGGGTATTGGATAAGGCCCACGATTTCTAACCTGGGACTCAGCCCTTCAGCCTTTATCCAAACATCCCTGCCCATGTCGGCCAGGGAAACCAGCTAGCAGCAACCACGTTTGGCCAGGATTCCCCCCAGCAGGGTTCAGCTGCCACCCCCAGGGGCAGGGCCTTACAAATCCCAGATGGTCGGAGCGAGAGCAGCTGTTTTGGACCGTCCCCGTTCACCAGGCTCTGGGATAACGATTATTCCTGCCCGTGTGAATCAATCATGGCGTGAGACTGACTCATTCCTATCGTGTTACCCAAACAAGTAACAGAGTGTCAGACAACCTGGATGCAAAACTCTCCCACTCTGCAGTTTGATACCAAGCTCGTCCTTTCATAGCATTGCAATGGTGTGCTTAGGGTGTGGTCACATGTGCCCCACTAGGCCCAGAAGTTAAAACCGGCTGCTTGATGCCACATATCTCCACGCTGGCCCTAATTTGCTGGGGCCCTCCTATCTTTCCATTTCACTGGGGAATTTGCATCCAAATTTCTTTCCACCCTGCACAGCTTGTAACTGTTGTTACTTTCCTGAGATTCCCCAGAGGGGAGACACAAAATCAGTTTGGGAGAAACTTTGCTCACAACTTTCAGAAATCCTCCCCCTCCCCCCCACAGCTTCAAAAGTTTCCTCTTCTGCTATTTTTTGTCCTCTCTCATTCCAGTTACTCTCCTTATAAAATGCAAGGACAATCGACTGCTCTTTAGCAATCAAGTGTGATGTTCTGCTTTTTCTCCATTAGTAACTTTTTTTGGCTCAGGTCTGCAGTAGCAGATGCCATGCGCTTTTCACCCTCTGAGCCGGAGGAATTTTATTGTAATGAGCACTCCCATCTCTTTGCATCCCGGGCTTTACATTTTGATTGCATTGAAAAATGTGTCATCCCGTTGCAAAAGGACAAACCACAGGAAAGGCATGGAGCAGTTCTCACTATTATTGTGTTCCAATGGCACCGAGGGGCTGCAGATGAGATCAGGGCCCCATTATGCCCAGTTCTGCACCTAGACGTAATAAGAGAAAGTCCCTCCCCCAAAGAGATTATAGTCTAACTAGATAAGATGGATACAAAGGCATATAGATGATGTGACTTGCCCAAGGTCACAAAGGAAATCTGTGGAAGAGCCAGAAATTCAACCCAGATCTCCTGAGTCCTACCCCAGTGTTGTGGACCAAAATCCTCCTTCCTTCCAGTAGGACAAAATGAGGCTGCATATATTAGGCTCTGCAGTCACTGTTGTGGATCAAACCTGAGATCTTTGGTACATGTCCCTTGCCACATGAGTTAAAGGAGAAACTCTTTTATGCCCCCTCCAGCAAAGTATTTAAACTCCTGCTTAACTTCAAACAGGTACCCACGTGCATTGCTGGGGGGCGGCTCAGAGGTGGCTATGTAGCAGCTGTCACCTGGACCAGCCACAATGTGCAGCGCCCACCTGGCTGCCACCCTCCACCCCAGAGGTGGCGGCTTTTCTACTGCACTTTGGGATGCCAGGTCCAGTGGTGGTTCCTGGGGTACAACCGGGAAGTTTGTCTGAGAGTGCTGGGTCTTGGGATCCTGGTCAGTTTAGGGGCCAGGCGGTCAGACCAGAGTAGCACTAAGACCTGGTGGAATCCTTGTCCTGCTAGCCAGTATCACCGGTGCGATTATGCCCTGGGGGGGACCCATTTCCCCTTCTCCCTCCGGTCCAGCTCAGGGGAGAGAGGCGCCCAGTCTTGGCTTTTCTTTACTGCAGCTGGGCGGGAGCCCCCGTTTGTGAAATCAGCCCAACCACAGGCAAACTCCGCCCGCGAGCAGCTCCGCGCTCCGGAGGCAAGTTGAACGCCGCAGCTGGGGTGTTGCATGGGCTGCTCCTCCAGCCACTCCCGTCGGGGGGGAGGATTCATGACTTGGGAAGGGAGGGGACGCGTCTTCCCGAGCCGGATCCGCAAGAGCGCAGCAAAAACTCTCGGGAGCGGGGACTCTGATCTCCCGGCGCTAGCGGCCAGGCTGCGGGACCCTGCCCCGGAATATGCCTGATCTCCAGCCGCTCATCCGCCTTCAGCGCGCTAGGCTTTGGGATCGCAGGTAGTTTTGCCATGTTTGCCAGGACGGCGCTTCAGCTCGCTCTGTGGCTGCAAGTTGCGCTGGGGCAGAGTCTACCTAAGAGAGGTGAGTGCTTGGAAAACCCGGGGTTAGCCTGGCTCTGACCCTGGCAATGTCACCGGGATGCAGGCAGTCGCGGGGGAAAGAGGGAGTGAACTCCCTGAAACTGCCCCAGCAGGGAGCAAACTTGTCTGTGTTGTTATTTATTGCAACAAATAACATGCAATTGCCTCGGGACCTTGCAGCTCTCAGGCCGGTCCGAGGGAAAGGGCTGCCTGCTCCTTTAGTGCAGAAATCTTAATTTAAAAAATAACTTCAGGTACTCCAGGTGTTCCTGCTAATTATTGAGCTTTAACAACTAGATACCCTCCTCTCTCCCCCTTTAAAATATTTCCCCTCTGCCCATGTGTTGTGTGAAAGACCCATTGCAAACAACAGGGGAACTGGCAGTGAAACCGACACCAGGTAAACAAAGTGGAAAATCAGGGGGTGGGTGGGATCTCTAGAGTAACTTGTCACTTGAGACAGTAATGAATAAAAAAAAGTTTTCAGACAACAGAGTGAGGGTTAAATCAGCAGCGTCTGGTTAATTCTTCATTTGTTTATAGGTAGAAAAAAAGTCTAGGCTTTGAATGTTCTAATAACAGTAGCTGCAGGTGGATTTCACGGGCTAATAGGATAGCATCCACACCTGTGGCATAGAAGGCTGGGTGAGAGGAGATGTGAACTTTCAGTCAGGTCTGGAGACCAGATTCTCAGCCTTTCCTGCTGGGGGAGCAGTTGAGGGCTTGAAGGAGGGCTGGGTGGGCAACAGTTTTCCCGTCCTGGGGAAAAGTTTGATGATTCCAAAAACGTTCCTGTCCCAGATCAGAACAAAAGATCAAACTCGTGAACATCTTCGCAAACCGACAGTCTGGAAAATAAATTGTTTGGCTCCATCCACACATTTCAGGTTGATGACTGTGAAATGTTTTCTTGTGATGACTTATGTGTGTATGTATGTGTTTGTTTAATAGATAGATATTACTAGAATTAGCTTATTTCACAAAACAAAAAGGCATTTTGAACCCACACGAGGGAGATTTTTTTTAAATGAAAAATGTTAGTGTTGAAACGTCTTTCGAAATGTTTTTGAAAACGAGAGATTTGTCGGGCCCGACCCTTGCCCACCAACGTGTTCCAATTTTGAGGAATTGGCAGCTTGTGACCAAAAAAAAAAAAAGCGATGTCTAAAAATTCCTGACCGGCTCTAGTCAGAAGCCTTCAGGGGCAGATTCTGCCACCTTTACTCAAGATGAGCAGGTTCTTGCTTTGACTTCAGCGGGACTCGTTGCAGAGTAAAGCACTGCTCAGTGTAAGAGTGCGGGAATCTGGCCCCAGGGACATAATTTACCAAGCTAGATTCCTGTGCCCAGGCTGGCATTACTGCTCCTGGTGCTGTGCCAGGATTTTCTGATGCCTACACAAGCAGAAATGATTATTCTTATTCATGTAACCAGCCCTGGTAATGTACATAGCACTTCTCGAGCCTGGCCTAAGAGAGAGACCTGCTTTGAAGAGGACGTTAAAAAGGAGCAAGCCTCTAGCTTTATCAAACGGATGTGGCTGACACGAGACGCCAAGTTGCAATCTCGGTGTCTTTGCTTTAGTTTTACAACTCTGCAATGAAATGCAACGGCTGCTCAGCTGGTCTGAGATTATTTTCCAAAATCCGACTGCTTCGCTCTTCGGTGTTTTATGGCTCCCAGCAGAGGTGCCTCTAAAGCTTTGCATAAAGTGCTCTGGAGAAAACCATCTGGTTGTGTGTGGGATGGGCTGTCGTGCGCGGCTTAGTTTGATTTACCAGCATGGTGTGTGGTGGGGTGGATTGGCAGGCATGAGGGACTAAGTGGAAGACAGAAAGTCAGTCCACACGCAGGGCCGGCTCCAGGCACCAGCTTCTCAAGCAGGTGCTTGGGGCGGCCACTCTGGAGAGGGGTGGCAGGTCCAGGTATTCGGCGGCAATTCGGCGGATGGTCCCTCACTCCGGCTCGGAGTGAAGGACCTCCCGCCGAATTGCGGCCGCGGATTTTTTTTTTTTTGGTTTTGGCTGCTTGGGGCGGCCAAAACCCTGGAGCCGGCCCTGTCCACACGTCTGGTTCTTCCTGGTGCTCACACTTAACACTCTTGTGGTTTCACTGTTAATTGCAGCAAACAATGCAGGGACATTATTGGGTGGCTAGTGGCATTTCTGAGCTCTCAGGAATGACCGGTCAGTGCATTAATTCAATAGCCATCGTTATCCGAGAGCTGCCGCTAAGACAGTGGGGTGCATGACCTGCAGCATGCTTAGGGCCAGATTCTTATCTCAGCCCCCCGGCACCAATCTAGAGTTCCACTCCTCATTACTCTGGGTTTACATGGGTGTAATTGAGATCAGCATTAGCTGGTCATTCTAGATTTACACCAGTGGAACTCAAAATCCAGCCTATAGAAAGGAGAACATTTAGAGCCCAATTCATCACTGCCCTATACCCTTTGCCATCATTTACTCCCATGCAAAACCCTTGTGCAGCAGCAGGGGTTGCATTTTGCAGCTGCATTGTGTGATTCGCACCAGCACAGTGTATGGCAGAGAGCAGCACTGAGCCGGGCCTTTGGGATGGACGGATTGCTGTCTTTCTCCAGGCAGTTATGCTGCCCTGAAAATACAGATCCATTGGTGAGTGTGAAGGCAGGAAACAGCAGCTGAAGGCAGGCTGAACCTGGGGTTTAGCGGCAATTTTGGCACAAACTCCTGGAGGAGAGTAGCTGATTGAAAGCTGTGAGGTTGAGAGCTGCTGCTGCCGCTAGCCCTGCTCGCTTCGCCCTCTGTGTTATGGTGGGAGTGTGTAAGATTATTGCCTAGACACAGTGAAGTGGAAAGAGACCTGGCCATCTTACGCAGCTAGCTCTGGGGGCATGCGAGGGCGGTATTGGTGTATACTGGATGACGTTTAACCCCCAAAGTCTGAGTGCTGGGCACTACGCAGGGGATGAGAAGGGGAATGGAGGTCACCAACCCAACCTATGTAGCAGCCGCTGTCCTTCCATGCACCCTTTGGACAGGGTCCCACCTGCTCGTTCAGCCCCAGCAAGGAGCTGTGCAGTGCAGAGAAATCCCAGTCAGGCAGGGGGCACGTGGGTCATATTTTCCAGCTCTTCTCCACTTCCACGAGGGCTAGAAACGTCTTATTATTTATTTATTATTGGAAGCTGTGAGTCTCTTCTAATCACAGGACTCCAGGAGCCGGGGCTTTATGCAAAGCACCAAGTATCACAAGACAACCATGAGATGTGGCAACACTGCTGTAGCCTTAAAAGTAGCTTGGCTGAAGAGCTATTTCTCAATCTGTGGCTTATATTTGGTGCACGCTGACTGCCCCTGGCTTACCCTGCAGAACAGCTTTGGTCTTTTGGTTGTGTGAGCATCCCTCATTTGGAGAGATCTGTGTTTTATCCCCTACACCCTCCATCTCCCAAACAGTGTGGTCTCTTTCGCTTGCAGTACAGCCTCTCCTCTCTCTAATCTGCCTGGCACTCCAGAGCAACACCCCCAGGGTTGGGTCGATGGTAAAGATCCCCTCTTGGGAGATTTGATGCCTTTGTCCTAGGGCAAGTCCTTCTCCTCCCATCTGTTCGGACTGGGGCAGCACTGAGAACAGAGCCTGCTTTCTTCAGCAACCAAACTCCAGCTCTGTTTCTGAGGGTGCTGGGTTTTTTCCCCTTAGGGCAAAACAGTGGGGGTGGAGAGAGTGGCAGGGCTGGTGGTTTTAAGGCACAATTAAGAGACTGGTGACTGATGTCTCTTGGCTCTTGAGTTCGCTCCATTCTTCCTACCAGTTCTGAGTCCCATATAAATCAAGCAGCACACCGTGCATGGGGTGACACTGCTGAAAGGGAGGGGAGTTTTGGCCAGCATCATCTTTTGATATCTCAATTCAGGCAGGAGGAAAGCTTTGGCCAGCTACTTTCTCCCAGCTAAAGCCAAGCAACTCGATGGTCCCGTGACAGCGTTGTGATCTCCCCCCTGATCGCTTCCAGTCGCGGAGCCCATACCTCGCTTGGCTGGCATGCACGCTGCAATACAAAAAGGTCAGCGAGTGGGAGAGCGGGGCTGTGCGGCTCTGCCCTTTGTTCCCAAAGACCTGGGTTCCAGGACAGCCTGGGGTCACCAGTGACATGAGTTTCCCACAGTTAGTCCCCAGGTGAGGCGATTTTGTGCCTTAGCATAAGGGGCACGAGGTGCATCGGCAGAGCTGCTGCAGGCGCTCCGCAGGGGTAGAGCAGACAGTGCTGCAGAGCTCTGAGCCCAGCAGTGGAACAGGGTCTCCTGTCCCAAGGGTGGAGCTAGTTCCATGAAGCACGTTTTAAGGAAGTCTCTTTACCAGTTGCCAAGAGAACAGAGATGGGTTTAATAAAGCAACCCAAACCCAACCGCCCTAGCGAGGTCTGTGTATGTTTGTCGCTGGGCTGGGCTGGGTCGATGATGCTGAGGTGGGTTCCTTGTCTTAAAGATCCCGCTGGAGGTGAGAAATCTCAGCTTCGAGGATTAATGACATTTCCGTGTTGCTTGGAGCAGGGGCTGATTGCAAAGCACCACAGGATTAACCAGCAGTTTGAACCCCAGGGGGTCCCCTTCCATCTCTGATGAAATGTGGAGGATGAAGGGGAGGAAAGAACTGATACAATTACAAGGACATTAAAAAAAGAAAATGCAAAGGGAAGAGCCTAGCGCCTTATAGCGTGTTGTGCTCCTGTCCCATGCTTTGCGATACAGCTCTAGTCTAGTGACAACTGTGAACAGAGAGAGGCCGGGGGGTGGGAGGGAGCAATTTATTGATATTTTATTGGGGTTAAGTGTCAGGGGAAGCTGAGCCTGATATAGCATTTGTTGTTGTTGTTGTTTTATAAAGGAGCAAACCTGGATATCTCAGCCCTAGAGGGGAGGGAATCAGCCATTCTGTGATACCCATAAATAGCTGCAAAATATACACCTGCCTCCTTGCACAGGTTCTCCAAACAATAACATCTAGCCACCTTCCAGG